CCTAGAAGAATGAAATATTTTGGGGAATATTAAAAGAAGCAGAATATTATATTCCCCCAAAGGGAGAAATGGAGAAACATGCCCTTAAAGGGGACAGAAACCAGCTTCAGTCTCCTTTCTCCAAGCAGAAACTGAGGAGACCAGCTTTTAGAAATGTAGATTTGGTAATCTATTCAGAAAGACTCGGTCAATTTATTCACAAACATCTTTCACAATTAAGATTAGAGATAGGGAGGACATTCATTAAGAATTGTGGGAACAATATTGGTCCATTATGAAAGACAGCTCAGAGGCAATAGATAAGAGGATAAAATCAATTACAGATGCCTTACAGGATTAAGATCAAGGAAGTAATAATTAAGACCCATCACGAGCCTTCGTGAAACAAGTAAAATGAATCAAATAATAAAAACACACAAAGCAAGCTTCCAGATTACAAAATGTTATAAAAACTGTATAAAAGTCCATGTTCAAAAAAAGCTAGTTGTTCAGCTGACCCAGAACTGCACACTGTCTATGTGGTTCCGTTCACCAATAAATGGTCCTTTCTTTCCAATCAGCCTCCAGCCTCCATTTTATTCCAGTGTCTTTCTCCCAGCTTGGAACTGAACCAAATGGATTTTCCTTCCAACACTTGTTTGTGTAAGTTGGACTTAGGCAACTCAGGATCAGGGGTGGGATTCTATTGGTTCTGTCCACTTCTGTAGAACTGGTTGCTATGAAAAGCAGCAAACAGAAAGCAGACATAGAACCGGTTCTATGTCTGCTGCTGTTTTGGCCTACCCGCCTGCCTGGGCTCTTACCTGACCTTTATTTCCTGTGTTTTCAACCGCAGCTGCTTTGCATGACACAGCTGCGGTTGAAAAAGCAGGAAAAAAAGTGGTGCTTCAACCGCTGCGTACTTGCACGCAGCGCTGTTCAGCTGTCCGGGCAGCTCAGCAAGTCGTAAATTGCACTCGCGTGACTCGCGCATGCGCACACGATGCAGAGCAACACAACCGGGAGTTATACCGGTCGGATGCCATCCCTGCTCAGGATGTCTTAACAGAACAGCCGGACTTGCCCAGCAGATGTGCGGTGGGTCTTTGGCCCAGATATTTTATGGAGAAGTTCCTGTCTCATAACAACTTAAGAAAAAAAGAGACAGAGAAACTCACCTCACACTCATAGAGACCTTCATCATCCTCACAGGCATTTTTGATAACCAGGACAATCACGCCACTTCGTGGCTCACTGAAGCTCTGGTGTTTGTTTGGATCGGTGAGGAGGTTCCCATCTTTATGCCACCTGGAATGAGGAGGGGGAAAAAGAGAAGAGGAAAGGAAGGGATGGGAAGGGAGAGGAAGAGAAGGGAGGGGAGGGAGGGAGGGAGGGGAAGGAAGGAAATACAGATTTACAGAAGAGGGCATTGATATATTGGGGGGCCGGTTTGGCCAACTTCACCCAATTGGCTTTCGTGCCTAAGACACGGTGGAGCTCACCGTTTCCCAGTGATTGGCTCAATACAAAAAATACAGATTTTTACTCTTTTGTGTCTTACCTATTCACAGAGTAGGACACAGTAAGACATGAAAAAGTAAAAATTGGAAGCAACAATAATTATTATCTCTACATGGTTCTCCTCCTCTTTTGAAAACAGCTTTCAGAACGTACAGGTAGTCCTCAATTTACAACCGTTCCTTAACCACCCTTCAAAGTTGCAACAGCACTGAAAAAGGTAATTTACGACTGATCCTCATCCTTATGAACATTGTAATGTTCCCACGGTTACATGATCAAAATTCAGGCTTTTGGAAACCAGCAGGATGATTATGACAGTTGCAGGGCCTGGAGATCACATGATCACCATTTGTGACCTTCCAATTTCTAACAAGCAATTAAATGGAGGAAGTCAGATTCACTTAACAGCAGTGTGATTCATTTAGCAACTGCAATGATTCTTTTAACAACCCTGGAGAAAAAGGTCATAAAATCAGGGACAATTTGTTTAACAACCATCTGGCCTAGCCACAAAAATTCAGGTCCCAATTGTGATTGTAAGTAGAGGACTTCCCGTAAAATAAGCCTTTGTAGGCTAGAAAGTCCTATTCAAAAATGCTACGGAGCAAGGGCTTGATTATTCCCTTACCTGATTTGGGGGTATGGTGCTCCTTCAATGGTGCAAGTAAACTGTGCATCTTCGCCACTGGCATAATAGGCGTGTTTCATCTTGTTCACAAACCGAGGAGGCACTGGAAATTAAAATATACCATGAGGAGGTTGTAAGCTTTGTGAAAAGAGAGAGGAGTAAGTTAAATACACTTCTAAACCCACATGGCATCCAGAAACATGGTACATCCAAGAGACATTTGTTTGTTTGTTTATGTTTGTTTACATCCCACCTTTATTGTTTTTACAAATAACTCAAGGCAGAGAACATGTCCAATATACCTTCCTCCTCCTATATTCTCCACAACAGCAACCTTGTTTCTGAGACGGGAAAGCAAATGGACCAAAGTCACCCAGCTGGCTTTGGACTAGAACTCCCAGTCTCCTGGTGACTGGCCCAAAGACAGCCAGCCAACTTTCCTGTCTAAAGAGATGGGACTAGAATTCACAATCTCCCCGTTTCTAGCCTGGCACCTTCATCACTAGACCAAACTGGCCCTCATTATATCAATACCTCTTCCACCAAACCTTAGAGAGAACACAATTCTCTCTCTTTTTTTGATCCCATTTTTAAAGTGGGTTTATTATCTTTCCTTCCTTTGCACAGTTGCTTTGTAGGGACTCTCATGTGATGCATTTTGTTGTGTTGTGTAACAACCACCTCTTCCTTTGTTTTCTCATCGCACCCCAAAAGCCCCGCTAGCTGATTGGATGCCTTGTGGGAGTAGGACCAGTGTGTGGAGCGATGAAAGATGTTAGGTACTTCTCTCTGGACTTTCAAGGTTTCCTGTGCGTGTGTCTTTGTGTAGTGCTTGTACCTTGGACGAGAATTTTCCCAAGGGTGCTGGCACTGCCAGCTGGACTAGATGCATAGCACAGATATTGCCCTGAATCCACTCCGGTCAGATTATCAAGGATCAATGTGCAGGATCCATCAGGATCTTCGATGATGATGTGGTGGGGATCCACTTCGACCGGCTTCCCATCTGCAAAGCAAAAGGCAGCCTTTGGTGAACATAGGGCTGGATTCAGAGTTAAATAGGATTGTAAAACGGATTCCCTTTATTTATTTTAACAACAGGTAATCCTTGATTTATGACTAGAACGCACCTCATTAAGGAATGTAGTCGTTACATGAGTTGGGACCAATTTTACAACCTTTCTTTCTTTCTTTTGCCATGGATATTCAGGGAATCCCTGCCATCGTTAAGTGAATCACGTGGTCATTAAGAGAAGCCAGCTTCTTCTATTGACTTTGCTTGCTGGAAGCCAGCTGGGAAGATCCCCAATGGTCATTGTGTGAGCCCAGGACATTGCAGCCATTAAAAAAGCAAGCTGGTTGCCAAGTGCCCAAATTTTGACAATTTGAGGCTGCGATGGTTATAAATGCGAGGACCGGGCATAAATCACTTTTCTCTACACCATTGTTACTTTGAATGGTCACTCAATGGATGATCAAGGACATATATATATAATTATATATATAAAATTGTATATATAAAATTGTATATATAAAATTGTGTATATATATATATATATATACACAATTTTATAT